TTCAATTTCAAATTATTAAAATGAATATTCATTAGGGGTTACACTTATCAAAAATCCAAAAATCACTTGATTTTGATAAGTGTAACTCCTTAATGAATATTAATATTTTAACAAGACTAGTATACACGAACAGAAAAAAACAAACGGGGTGTTTCTAGCAAAAACTCCTTATTATACATATTATATATTATTATTATAACCATAAAAGGGTTTATTATACATATGACAATCTCAGCTCAAATTTTTATAAAATCCAATCCTTTTTGACTAAACCAATAAAACCAATCTTAACAGTAAAAATGCCATTTTTTAAACACAAAAAAATCAAAATAGGAGAAGACAGCAGCATCCGTAAAGAAACAATGATTAAAAAATTAACGGAGAAATGCAAAGATAAAGAATTGGCAAAATTTCTTTATGATTGTAGAAAGGATGGGTGCAAGATTAAATGGATTCCACATAATGAATTTCATAATATTACACCATTAGCTAAAGGAGGATTTGGAGTCATACATACTGCCAATTGGTGGCATAATTCTACTTGTAGAAAAGTTGTTCTAAAAAGCATTTACATTTCACAGCATGTTATTCCAAGAATATTAAAAGAGGTAAATAAATTCCTTGAATTTACCGAGTAAATAATTGCCAATTATTAAATTGTTGATTGAACTATTAAAAATCATTAGCTAGAAGCGCATAAAAGAATTTACAAGGAAAATAACACCTCTGACCATTTTATTAACGAGTGTTACGGAATTACAAAAGATGAGAAAAAAAATACTTATAAGATAGTACTTAAACATGCACAAGGAGGAGACTTACACAATTACTTGTCAAAGAACTTTAAGAATTTTTTCTGGGAAGACAAATTAGAATCACTTTTGAATGTTTCGATTGGGTAATTTGACTTTTAAATTATTTTGTAAATTTTTTTATGATAAATTAACCAATAATCTTTATTTTTCGTCAGGCTAAATAAAATTCATTCTAAAAATTTTGTGCATCATGACTTGCATAGCCGCAATATTTTGGTAGAAATGGTTGAAAAAAGTATAATAGCGGATTTAGGATTATGTGAACCAGTTGAAGAAAAGAATCCCAATAATAAAGTTTATGGTGTTATGCCGTATTTGGCACCAGAGGTATTATCTGGCAAACCATATACTAAAGAATCCGATGTATATAGCTTTGGGATGATAATGTGGGTATATACTTCCGGCAAGGAGCCATTTGATGACGGATTGCATAATATTGATCTTACAATGGAAATTTTGAATGGGAGGAGGCCAGATATAACCAATGATACACCAAAATTTTATGCCGAATTGATGGAACGATGCTGGCATCCTGATCCCACTGAAAGACCAACTGCAAGTCAAATCGAGAATTTTTTGAATATATATCTTGAAAATGGTAAATATAACAACGAGAATATCGAATCAGCCGAATTCAAAAGAAAACTAAGGAGGGTTGGCAGCAATGATCAAAACAAAACAAAAAAGGATTTATTTTTAAAAACTAAGCAAGATTCTGCAATTGTTAATTTATGTATATCAGCAGCTCTTGTTGCTAGAGGTAAGAAATTGATCTGTTTGTTCATTTATCATCTATTATTTAAATTTTATGATTTTATACTTACTAATTTTTATTTAATTTTTCATTCATAGCTGGACTGGGATTCGAAGAAAATTTTGATAACAGTGAAGGATTTTATGTCATATAATCTGCTGACTATACGTAAAGTTCTAAATAGAAAAAAATTTATTAAAAGAATCATAGGGGGTTCTGTAGAAAAAAACCGAAAATAGGCAACATTGGAAAACATGGTCCTATTTAAATAGGAGCATTTATTTTTATTATTATTTATTTTAAAAAACAATTAATTGTAAATAGTAAAAACAATTAAAAAAATGGCATTTATTTTTAAAAAACAATTAATTGTATATAGTAAAAACAATGGCATTTGTTTACAATATTTTAAATTACATGCTTCTTCACTTTGCAATTTACGCAAATTGTATCATAGGGAAGAGTTGGAAAAAATGTTGTCAGAAAAAAATACCTTTTAAAAGTCTCGATTAAGTGGATTAATGAAAGAGATGAAGTTTTGTATTTACACTAGTGTTGGTTGCCAAAACTATTTTGAAGAGGAGAAAGTCAAAATTTTTTGATTTTCGAAACTCTAGTTTTGGCTAATTTCACACCACCAATTGGTTTCTTTTGTCGGAGCATATATATTATAATATTGTGCTCTATATGGCCATTCAACAGCATTGTGGCATACATTATTCCACTTGAAAAAAGGGATATGATCGGTAATTGAGTCATCAGTATAGTTAGTTCCGAAAATACAAATGGAAAAACCGTGATAGTAATAGTAAATAAAAGTTTCGTAATTAAATTCCGCAAATATATTAATATATACACGATTATTTGAATGAAACTTGTTTGCCCATCTTAGAGTGTCGCTTTTTCCTTTTTTTCTAATGTTTTGTGACAATTTTCTGAGTTTTTTTTGAAAGAAAACCTTCTGGTTTCACATTAGGTTCTTAATCAAATTTACTTGTTCAACAGTGAATTTGGCACTTTTAATGAGGGAAGTTATTATTTCAGAGAACTCTTTTCCATAGATTTTTAAATAAATCAAAAAAATCAAATTATTAATTATTTTAATTAATTTTTTGGTTATTTTTTGATATGCGGTTTTGTCTACTGCGTTTGTAGATTCTATTAAAGGTTAACCGGTTAATTTAGTCACGTGGAATTTTTTTAACTGGTAAATTCGATCGTTCTTTACTTACAAAATAATCACGCGCTGTTGAATTTTATTATTATACACTTAATAGATGCTAAATGATTACAGTCAAACCTCACCACAGCGGATTCATGGTTCCAGCCAAAAAAATCCATTATTATTATTATTATTATGACAAGAAATCCGCAGCAGCAAAATTGGTAATAATACAAAGCTCTCTCTATATGGAACCCTCTGTCCATTATATGCATTTTTCTGCTTTCGTTCATTATAGGGAGAAATTAATAATTGAATCAGAGACAGGCGACAAAAGGGAAATTCGTTATAGAGAAATTTACTTAGTGTTCATTATAGAGAGGTTTAGTATAGTGCAATAAATTAATAAACTAAATACAAAAATAAATAAATGAATAAATGAACAATACATAAGAAAATGAAAATTATTTGTTGAAATAAGATGTAATATTTGGTTGTATTATCCAATAATTTCACTTTTTTCAATGGTTTAAATGCTTTAAATTCTTTACAATCTATTTCTAAATCACTTTGTTGAAGAAAATTAAAAGCCATCTCAAAGGAAATTACGGCATCTTTCGTTGAAACTTTAGACATAGTGTTACTCTCAACAACTATTATATTATTAACATCATTTTGAAATCTCTTCGACTATATTTCTTGAATTTTCAATTTCATTATTAGATATTTCATTTTCCAAAGGGAGAATTGCAGTTTTCCTCTATCAATTTTGGTAATTTGGAACCCAGGCTGAAACCTCCCAAGTTGCTGAATTTTCAGACCAGTTGCATACGCCAACTTTATTCTAGAGAAGCATAACACACAAATACTGATCCTCATCAGTGATCAACTGGTCTGGGAGGAAGTTAAGAGAAGTTTTGTCCAAAGCCTTCCCAACATGTATGTGGCCTTGCTTGTGGAAAAAAATTACATGGTTATGAGGCGTGTGAAAGCACCTTAATGCATGTTGGTGATAGTAAATTTTAATTAAATCTGGCACTTGCAATCAACATCAGATTTATTATTCATAGTTTTTTAAGGAACTTTAGAATGGTGAAGGAAAAATTTTTTTTTTGAACCTCCATATTTATTTATTTATTCTTGTGAACCCCAGGGATCTGGGTAGACATGCATTATTAAAATTTTCATTTATCCATGGCCTTGTGTTATTACTACTTGGGTGATGCAATTGTTGTTATGTTAATGATAGTATTAAACATGGTGATGAATGTGCGTACAAAGGAATTCACACATTAAATAGCAATATCATGTTTATTTATTTATTTTTTATTTTAACCAAATACATAATTATAAATTAGATTGAAAAAATACAAGTAGAAAATTGCAAGAGTATGGAAATCCAAGATTGGACCAATCACACCATTACATGTTCAAGGTTAATCAAGCAATTATTTGAATACATTGATACACTTTTGTAATTTTATTGAAGGGGATAGGTTTGTATGCAATTTAAATTCTTTTGTGCTAATTTAGAGTCATATCTTTCTTTGCACTTGTAGGTATCATTTTACAAATCAAGTTATTTACCTTAATGTAATAATCATTATATCAAATTAATTTGTAACTTGGGTTTTCAAAAATTGATATAATTTTTCTACAATAATAGTATTTTCTATGTTTATGATCAACAATGTGTGGAAAAATTCATTGGTAAAGGCAATCAATTTTTTATTAACTTGTTATTGATGAAGTAAAATATTACAAATATTCATTTATTGTTTGCTTTTTAAGTTGTCTTTTCCATTTTGATTATTGATGATGATAATCTAGGCCATAATTATTTTTCATTGGAGCCAATTGACCAAATTTTTCAATTTCTCTTCGCAAGTTGCATCACAATCGTATCTTTTAAATCATTACCTAAAACCATTCCATTGGTTCACCTAAGTTTAATTCCATTCATATAATTATTATACTGATGAAAAGGATGCCATGTAAGTCTGATTTACAATCATGAGGTGCAACAAGACTTAATGGTGTTTTACGATATTGGGACAGAACCATCCTTCAGATTTCATTAACAGAAATTGGGTATCTTATTAGTCACTCTATGAAACTTGACTCATTTTTATGTGCCAAAAATAATGTTTGTTTTTTATTTCGGTTCCTAATCAGCCTTTTAGGGGTTCGGTTTGTCCTTTATCTAATTTTTGAATTATAAACTATCAAGCAATGCTATTAGTAATTCCAAATAAATAAAATTTCATATTGCACAATATTTTTTTAATAACATTTGAGCTAAAGCTGGAGATCCTGTTTCCATATAAATTAAATATAAATTATAGGCAGCTTCTTTTCTAATATCTGTAGGATCATTTTCTTCGAAATTTTCAACTTCTTCATTTTCGTCAGTTTCTAATTGTTTTTTCTTGCCCTATATATATATATATATATATATATCAAATATAATCAGTGAGTTTCATAGTAATCAATATTACATGTAAACACATAAACGTATAAAAATATCCAAACTTTATCAATTTTTTGTTTCAAAATTTGATTTACTGATGGTAATTTAAGTGCTTTTTCATAATGTGGTATAGC